TGCATCAGTCTGCTTCCTAAGTCTAAAACAAAAAGATGAGCAGCGCCATCCAGTGGTCATACAACGACAGTTAATGTTTGAACAAAGCTCCATCCCTGCTTTGGAACAGCATCCTAAAGATGGACACTCATCTACATGTATATTGTATTGTGCAGCATCTGCACTGATTTCTTTCCATCTTTTTCATTTTTTTTAATTGTAATATACTGTATTCTAACTTTTTTAAATAATTCTTTTGGGGGGGGGTTCACTTATATTAAGTACATATACACATAAGTAGGTTGCTAAGAGGTGGACAGGAAATGGAGGAGACAGATGGGGAGACCTGCGACATAGGTCGGCGGTCAAACTCGACCAACATCACACACACTGTGCCTGATGCACTGCACCATGACAGCTTTCAGCTACCGGGGCACCCCACTGTATTCTAATTTAACTCCAATTGATCGAGCAATTTTCTTATAGGATTATTTTAAATTGTCGTCATCATGTTTGAATGCTTTATTTTCATCAATATTTCTGTGCTGCTCCAGGATATTTCTGCTAATTATCTTTGCACTCAGTACTATTGGTCTTTTTTTATTCCATGAAGTTTTTACATATTTAGGCTTTTGACCAATTATACTGTAATGTACTACTGAGCTGAAGACAATGCCCTTTCCAGGACTAGTAAAACACACTTGATAGCTTTATGGACAACATCCGCAGCCCTTACCACTTGTTAATTTGTGATTTATATTTCTATGTTCATAGAACATTCCCCATATGTATATAACTTAATGTATATAAATGAATGTATGTGGTTTTGTGCCTACATATTACACACAATATTTCTGTAATATTGCCAGTAGTAGGGCCAATAGTCTCATCATCCTTTCATACCATTGGGACCGGACTAAAAAGGAGATTTTAATAGTGAACCTTGTTGCTCCAATAAAACAACCATCCCCTCTCTCAGTTTGAATCCAAATTTGTGAAGTAACTAAAAGTCGGAAGGAGTATTTATTTACTCAAGCAAATGTAGTAATACCTCATTAAAATACTCTGTTACATGTAAAAGTCCAGCTTTCAAAATTTTAGGTGTTAACAAAATGTAGGCTATTTAATGCATCAAAAATAAAAGTACTCATGCTTGATGCTTTCTTTCTGTTTGTAACATATAAATACATTTTACTACTTTTTTTAATTAATCAAATTATGTAGATCTAAATGATGTAATGATGAGAGCAAACCTGGGGCTTTTGGGCTCCTGTGACCCCTGTCTTTCGCCCAGTCAGTAATCCCGTCTTGATTACGGTAACTCTGCGGTTTTCGTTATACCGTATATGAGTGTCATTACGGTAACAATGGGGCAGTTTGGTTGATCCACACTCCAATCAGCAGGTGGCGGTAAAGCGCCTTAAGCTGGCATGCAAACCGTCAATAAATTACGGAGAAGGAGGAAGAAGAAGACGACGAAGAAGAAGAAG